AAAAAAAAATTAAAGAATTGTGTTAACAATTGATTAATAGCATATAACAATCAAAATAAACTGCACAAGCAACACCGTCCAAATTAGGACGACATTGAATGGATAAAGTTGAGTAGAGGGATGACGTTGACTAGTGTTAGGGAAGTAGAGGGACGACAATGAACATATCCTTAGTAGAGGGATGGGTATGAACAAAAAATGAAAGTAAAGGGATGACAGTTGACTTTAACCCAAAATCAATTAAATTAACTTTAAATTTAAAGATATTTTTCAAATAAAATAAAACAATTTTCAACCACCTCTTTTTATCCTTATCTTTTTCTCTTTTTTCCTTGCTTCTCCATATTTCATATATTAAAAACCGGACCTACATGCTTCCCCTACCAATAATATATATATGTATAACATATTATAAAATATTATATAATATAAATAATAAATATATTATTAAAAAATACCTCCATATCTATACATATGTACGTAACACATATGTGAGTCAAGTCTAAGTTAGTTATTACCTTTTTTTTATATCCTTTATTTTCTTTGTGATTTCCTACCCTCGAATTTTTTGATTTATATTACACGGTATTGACTTAAAGGCGCAAAATTCTGGACAGTGGTGTCATATCTACCTGTATAAATAGCTTCATCTTTCTGAGAGAGTTCATATGCTCGGTTTCTTGGCATCCAATACCATCTGTCATTGCCTACTCTCCAGCGAACTAATCCTGGATTTGTGAATGTCGATGACTTAAGAGAAGCTTTAGTAATTCTCAGGCTAGTTTCCTGCCACATCATCTCATATATAGGAGTTTCCTTTTCATTTGATGCACTAGAAATAACCGCATAGTTATTGTAGAAATTTTTAAACCAAAGATTTTTATATAAAAATTTTAAAACTAGTTAGTTCTAACTCTAATAAACTCTTGTTATTTTTTTTAGAGATATAAGGGTTATGTGCATGTAAAGATTCAATGATTAATATATTTTTTGGTTTAATATATTATATAATATATTTATTAAAAAATTATTATTTTTTAATATAAAATTAAAAATTAATAAATTTTAAAATATAATTATACATATAACGTGTAAAAATCAATTAAATTTTTTTATTTTAATTGTACAATGAGAGATAACTATCTCTCATTCCTTCTCTCATTTTACTTGCATACTATGCGACTCGAATTCAAAAATTTTTATTTCCAACGAAATGAAATGATAACTAAATTACTTATCAATTGGGTTAAAACCAATTATCATCCCTCTACATTCATTTTTTGTTCATACCTGTCCCTCTACTAAGAATTTGTTCATTGTCATCCCTCTACTTCCCAAGCACTAATCAACGTCATCCCTCTACCCACCTTTTTCCATTCAATGTCATCCGTATTTGGACAGCGTTGCTTGCGCCGTTTATTTTGACCGTTATATGCCATCAATCAACCGTTAACACGATTCTTTTTTTTTTTTTTTCCCTTGTTCTAAGTTCTAACTTAGTGGAGACCACTCCTTTTCATCATCTTCCACACAACAATTCCTTAAACTCAATCCTCTTTTTTGCATAAACCTAATGCCCAGCCCAAGATTAAATGAAATTAACATTTTCCAACTCACTTTACAGGTTGTTAGGATATATTTTTACTTTTAAAGAAAAAATTATAATTAAAAATAAATAATGAAAGAGTTTATTGTTTTATAATTTAAATTATATTAAATTATAAAATAAAAATCTTTCGATGAAAAAAACTCGCAATTTCAATGTCAAGGATTTATTTATTATTCATGGGTTCATATTTTTTAGTTTAATATAATCTAAATTATAAAATATTTTCAATTATAAAATGCAAAATAGTATTTTATCTTTAATAAATTGTATTAAATAATAATAATATAATAAA